AGTTTGCTTAATTGATGCTGACTAGGATTTTACTTCAGACTTCTTCTAAACTTGGCATTTTTCATTCTGAAAGAACTCCCCAGGCACATCTAAGTGCAGCCAGGCAAGGAGGGGAGCGAATAATCTGTTTTATTCCGTAATTCTACTTTCACAGCACTGTTAATTTTTAAGCCCCTTAAGTTGAACAGTGATGGCCGGGAGGCCTGGCCCAGGGTCCTGCTAGATATGCCGGGAGAAAGAAATAAATCAGCCAAGAAAAATAAGAGCAAATAACAGGAACCCGGCCACGCAGTTTTTCGGAAAGGCAGCTGAAATCTCAGCGGAGAGGAGGAGGAGGAGAGCGGCGGGCACCGGGACCCGGCCGCAGAGGCGCCCGCCGCTCGCGGCCCCCCGCCCGCGCCGCTCCCCACTAACAAAGCGGCGCGGGTGCCGCTGGGCGGCGCGGGCCCGCGCCCGCCCGCCCGCCCGCCGCGGAGCCCCCCGGGGCGCTCACCTCAGCGTGCCGGGAGCCGCGGAGCCGCCGCGGGCCCGCGCAGGGCAGCGATGCTGGCGGGGGCGCGGCGCGGCCTCCCTCGCTCCCGCCACCCACGGCGCGCGGCCACGCCCACGACGGCCACGCCCCTCCGAGCCACGCCCCCCGCGCCGCCGCCGCCGTGGTGTGATACGGGGGGTTACCTCAGGTCAAAGAGCCGTGGCCCCGCCCCCTGGCTCGCGCCGCTCCCATTGGCCGCGGCCTGTGACACAGCGGGAGGCGGGACGAATCAGGCGGCGCCCGCGGGGCGGGGCCAATGAGGCGATGCCCATGGCCTGAGCGGCCGCGCCGCGGCGCCCATTGGCTGTGGGCGGCGGGGGGGCGTGGCCGCGCGCCGCCGCGTTAACCCACGCAGCGCCGCGCGCGGCCACGTGCGGGGCGGCCACGTGCGTGCCGCGTGTGCGGGACCGGCCCGGGCCACAGCCTGCGCAGCCGCACTGCGCCTCAAAGAACGCTCCTCCCCGTTTGCTTTTACTATTTTTCTACATTTTGCTTAAAGATAGCATTCCAAAATTGCTGAAATTTTAGCAATCGCCAATTTTGCACTGCAGCCACCACTCCCGAGGCCCTGGTCGTGTGCAGGGCAGAGCCCTTTGCAGATGCTTCACCGCAGCAAGACCCCAGCACTGAGGTGTCCCAGCCCTGACTTCAGTTTACAACTCCGGAGAGCTTCTTTGGAAATGGTATTTTAGGGCTGAGTCACTGGGTATCGCGGAGGCATGACCAGGCTGCAGCAGAAAATGGCCAAAAAATCTCAGCTTGGGTCTGCAGCTTTGCCATCAATAACACTATTATGGAGAACTGACCCTGTTCTCACCTTCCTGGGACTACAGGATGGATGCTTTCAGATACACCTCTATAAATACACCTTTTGCAAAAAGCATCTTTTCTCGCCTAAAGATTGTTATGAAGGTGCTAAAAGAGTAGGTTGCCCATGTTGGCTTAGCCACAGAGTCCCGAGCCCCGAAGCACACAGAGGCGAGTGGGAGGACTTGGCACGGCCGGGGACTGTGTCCCAAATCGCTGATAATAACCCTCATGCAGAACTTACAAAATCGGGGATTACGACAAGTGCTTAGTTCATCCCGGCAAGTATTTTGAGCTCCCTGGTCATGCTAAAACCTGCTTGCTGCTGGCGTGCCCTGCCCATTTCACCCATTCGCCTAATAAATACTATTCAAACACCGCTGGGAGAGGGATTGCTACATGTCATTAAGCCCTGTAGCAACTCTTCCGTTCAAGGGCAAAGCGAAAAGAACACAGGAAACAGCAAATAAAGTAAATCGTCCTTAAAAGTACACATTTGGAAGGTGCCTTTGAAAATAAGCGTTAACAAAAGCCTTGGGCCACCCTCAGCTTCGATGGCCTCACAGCAGCACTTTATTCATCACTATAACATTAACACTTAGACTGTTTCACAGACAGATCCCAGTGCACATCACACAGAAGGATAATTGTTTGCAGCCTATTTACATCAAGCACAGAAAAGATGCCAAAATATTTATTATGCGAATTGCACACCAGCAAATAAAAAGCTTGGCCCCGGTCTCTTTCACACCTGCTCTGAATCACTGAAACCAACAGCAAAAATCTCTCTTCACCGTGAAGGGACTGAAATGCCGATGGAAGACTTTTTACAAGGAAACACAGTTGGGGGCAATTACTTTAACTGATTTGGAACATTGCTGTGACTTTCACAGGAGCAGATACGGATTTCAAATTTCTCTCTGATCTACACTGAAGTAGTGAAAAAGCTTCAAAATGTGGCAGCAGTAACATGTGCTTTAATACAAACTATATCATTGTGCCTGGGTCTGGCATAAAGCTCCAACATCCTCACAGAGCTTTGTCAGTAAAGGCTTTTGAACTGTGACCATATTTCTACCTAACAGGGGGTGTTACAAAGGTGCTAGCGTATGGTAAAATGCATTTTCTTCTTCTATTATGTTCAGAAATTGGACACAGTACATTAATTGCTTTTACATGCCTTAATTGCACAGGCTCTTTACATGTGCACCCCTTCCTCCCACACACTTTCTCAAAAAAAGCCAGTGTAGCCTTAACAGCCCAATAAAAAACTTAAAAAAAAAAAAAAAACCCAAAGAAAATGTTATTACCTTTCATGATCCCAAACTCAGGGTACCATGCCTCTCCCCTTGCTCTGATAACATCACCAGTGCAAACACCCAAAAGATCATCCCAGGTTAGGGGGGCTAGTGACGCCATCCATTCTGGCACGGCTCACGTCCTGGCAGGCAAGTGAAAGAAAGAAAGGTCACATCAGTTTTTAAAGCAAAATCTGGTTATTGTTATTTTGAATAAGTTACAAAAGACTTTAAGCATCAGACATACAATGTTAATCCTCACAATACCGGTAGCGTGTGCATGTTTTTAAGGACAAGAAGCAAATCAAGTAATTCAGTCTCTTCACGCCCATCCTTAGCTCCGCAGGATGGGCTGTTATTGGTCCTAAATTTTCTAACAGCTTCAACTGCTCTAAATCATCCTGTGAAACTACCCAGCTGGGCTTATCTGGGTGCTCCCAGACAGGCGGGGAAGCAGCACAAGCAGAGAGCGAAACTCAGCACTGCTGCTGGATGGGGAACATGCAGGAATGGCACCAGGTACCACATGCAGAACATATTTAATCATTTTAAATACTTTAGAATCTAATTTTTTCCCAGTATTTTAGAGGTTTTCTTTACAAGGCTGAGAAACTTGAGATTCTTAATGTTTCTTGCCCTGAGGAAGTTCTACTAAAAACAGCAAGTATGGAAACATAGCTTAAAAAACATACAGAAAAGTCTTATCCAAACCTTTAGCAAGCCTTCCTTCCTAATGCACGTCACAGATATTACACACACGCTTTGCAGACGAGCTGGGAACACACTTACCAGAAAGGTGATGAAATCCTCCTCTACAGAGGATTCCAATAGATAGGGAGATCCGCACACCACATTTTGCAAGCGAAGAAATGAGAGCTGAGTGAATATTTTTATTTTCCATTTCCGTCTTATTTTCAAATAAAAGACTGATTCAAGTAGATAATCATTAAAATATGTTGATTTGTAGCTACATATTTTCTTTAGCCTGCATTTGTATGTGTAATATGTGTGGGGATGTACTTGGATTTTTACATTTCTCAAGAAGATTCCTATTCTCTTTTCCAACTGTAGGAAAAGTTGAATAAAGCAGAATATCATGCTCATTTGCTACACTAATTTTCTATGATTTGCGTCAAGCTGCCACTTTTGGTAATAAGACATCAGAATTTCAAAAAAGTACTCCAGATAATCCTAAAGGTGAGGGCCAATTTATCAGGAGCAAATCAATGCACCTCTCTTTTCCATAGCGCTTTTTCCCCCCCACTTTTGCTATTGGCTTTTCAATTTTCAGTGAAAAGCCATTGAGATAAAGCAGCTGAATACACTAAAATCAAGAAAATACTGCCTCCAGAGCTGTGGAACGAAAAGTGCAACAAGACTCTGTTTTATATTACATGACAGGTTGTAAATATGAAATATTTATAATGAAATCCATCCTTACCCACTGCAAAAACCTGAATGAATTAGGCATGTGCAATCAATATCGATTCTCCAACATGCTAGCCCCTGCTTTTGCTCTCCCTTTTCGAACTTACACATTGACTAGCACTATGAATGCTTAAAGATTTCTTGTATCTCTAGAATATCAGTCTTTGGAAAGGCCAGGGGTAATTTTATTTTCAACAAAAATGTTCTTCTTTCGGGCTCAGCCACACGAGCTTGGGGTTACCCCGCTTTTAAAAGCGGAGTCTTTGGAGGAAAAAGTGATATCCAGCGCCGCCTTGTGGCTAATAGGAGAAAATGCCGATTCCCCCCCAAAATCCCACGGAGCAGCCTAGGAGCCCCCCAGGACTTTGTGACTGAAGCTGCGAGCAGCACGTGCGACTCGGTGCCTTAGTCCCCAGAGCGGCACATGTCCGGGAGGTGCCTGTTGCCTGGAGCACACACAGCAAGGGGCGCGTGCGTGGGCCGTCTTGGGCAGAACCCGGTTCTAGAACGAGCCCGGCCGCACAGCACCCGGCGACGCCGACGGGCGCAGCGCGGTGCCCAGAGACACCCCGGTCACCGGCTTCACCCTTCCCAACTCCAGGAGCAGCCCCGGGCTTGACGTGCGGCACATCCTGCGCAAAGAAGTCGGACTGATAGATGATTTTTTTTTTTTTTTTGGGCCCATTATTTACCAAATCCAGTGCTGCTTCGGACTGCATCAAAACTAGAAATTACTACAACCTTCAGCAAATTACAGATCTATCTTCAAACTCTCCTTAAGCCACCAAAGCAAAGGCAGAAGCACTTTGAAGAATATATGACTACAAAGCCATTCTGGGAGCTCTACTAATCAGCTCAATACAGCCATACAACATTGCTTAACAGAAGCAGTAAAGATAAAAAGGGCTTCATGATTAGGAATATCAGGTGTAATTATGGCCACCATATTAATATTTAGCTTATTGTTTGCACACCACAATCTCAGCAGAAATGGTAAGCGCGTTGTGCACACAGCTGCAATTTCTAACTGCATAAAACTAAGGATTTCATAGACTAATTTATGTAGCGTTAGTAATAAATACATCTTTATGTAGGCTGTCTCTTTTCTACCATAAATTGAACTGTCTTTAATCCATATGCCATCATTTCAAATTCTCTCCATCTTTTTTTGCCGTCAAAGAACTGACATTTAGAGTTTTTACCCAAAAAGATAGTCCTGAGTTTGAACACTGTAGTTAAAAATGATTCCTCCTTCATTCCATGCCCCTCAGACCTCGGAGATTATGAATGTCATGTGGGAAATGCCTCAGAAGTACCTGGCAGCATGAGAAGCCTGGGCATCTTGCTCAAAGGTAAGAGAAAAGCTGTCGGGCCTGTTAACAGCAAAGTCTACGTTTTCTGTTGTCTCAGTCCTCGGTACTCGATGAAAAACAATGCAAAAATCAATAGATTTAATCACGCAATATTTTTGCTCCATTTTGCTAAATAACAAAGAGGTCTTTATACTATTCTCTGATGGGTGTGTCACACGCAGTCATTAATTCTGCACAAAATCTGGATTTTTCAGCTTAATATTGCAGAAAGGGAAGCAAAGTTATCACAGAACCTCAAGGTTGACCTTGACAGAACTGCCCTTGCCTTGTCATTGGGGATATTTGCACCCTCCAGCTTTCAGCATGAGTGCCGAAATTAAGAGTCTCAGCTCCAAGTAGCCTTTTGAGTCCTCGAGGGCGACAAGAATCCCAAACAGAGAGGTTTTTCTTTCCTCATCAACTACTCGGAGAGCTGCCTGCAGGTGGCTATGTTGCTATAAAGTCAGATGGTCTGAACAGTGTCCTCCAGGGTGTTAACAATTTATTGTGCTTGCACAGTAAGAACAAAGCCGGTCCAACAAAAAAGAACAGCCAATGTGATCACGCACAGAGAAGCAAACAGGAAACCTGCTTCTTTCCTCATCATAACATGATCACACAGCTGTCTCCGAAATTCCTTTATGGCAGTACACCCCTCACAGCTAACCCTGCTGGCCTGAACCTTTTGCAAGAGAAATTGCAAATAATTTGAGAGAAAGCAGTACTGATCTTTATTTTGCACTTGTCCTTTTTTAGCTCCTGGGACAGCAGCAACTGAAGGGAAGCTAAGCAGGAACCAAAATGTCATCACTTTGACATGCTTCAGTCTTGAGAGCCCCATGCAAGTAAGTCTGCTGTATTCAGAGAAGGAACATGGAGATTTGAGAGACCAGCTGGAAAAAAAATACACCCTGCAAGGCCTGCAAGTCATCACCACTGCAGACAGGAGAGCTGCTACTGGCCACAGCTGTGTTTTACTATCAGACAACAGGAAGAAATTTCAGACCAAATTTATTCTCAAAGTAAAAGGTAAAAAGACAAATATAAACCTAGCAAATGCCTGTTTATGTAGATTGGAAGAGGGCAATCCCCAGTTTCATACAGGTCATACTCTGCTGGCTATTAAAAATAAAATATTTGAAAAGAAGTTTTTTAATGAGATGTTTTTGTTGCATTTCCAGTGTTTCTGGTAGGAATATCAGATTGTGTTATGACAGCAAAGCTGCCCAAGCTGAAAGTGTTTGCAGAGGGTCTGACTGTCTTGCATGTGCGCCAGGACAACCTGACTTCGGAGGGTAGGTACCAAATCTCCCCGCACAGTCACAGAAGTAGCACTAACACAATGCACAATGAAGGAGAAAGATACGGCTTTTGCATGCACAGCTTAACCCTAGTTTTCCCTATCAGTAAATGCACTTTCTGCTTAACCCATTAAATCCAGATCTTTTCTGAATCCTTGGCTGTAATGAGAAAACAATATTTTAGCACTGACTTTCATTAGAAGCCACCAGGTTCTAGCATATGGGTTCCACACTAGGGCCCCTCGCTTCTCTGAATAACCTCACCTGGCTTCAGAGAGAAGTTACAAGCTCTTGCTGTGCCTGAATTCACACACTATCTTCTCCTGGGGACAAACTTGGACCTGAATACCTGAAATATTTTAAAGCAAACAGTTTCCAAGAGTCCAGATAGAGTTACACTTTCATCTGAAAGACTGCAGGGGTCCCCAAATCCCTTCTCTGCATTGTTCCACTTTACCTAACTCACCCTAACCAGAACGAAGAAAACAAACTGTCAAATATCCATAAAAGCTTTTGAAATATTCTTCTTTGTCTCAATTTAGAGAGAAATAAGAAAGAGATGCTGCTCAGAAAAACACAAAGTATCTACATTAAAGTGTTCATCCTGTGTTTCCTGCTAACGCCTACCTTAGCCTACATCATCATCGTTATATGTGAATTCCCCTGCTCAGTAAGTCTTTTGAACATAAAAGCTTCTCATCTCAATCCCACACATTCACCCAGAATTTAGACTCATATGTAGGACCACTCAGTGGAATTATGTTTTTTACCAAGTTCTCGGGAAGGGAAAACTGTCTTTGTAGATACGGACAGGAGCTTTGTGCTCTACACAGTGAGACAGGAGAAATGCATGCCCTGAGTTAGGCTGGTCTCCTGAGATGACCATGACCGTATCTCACACCCATACAAGTGACCCTGGAAGCCTCGCTCCTCCTTCCCAAGAGAGAGCAGCAGCCGAACGCTGCACCGGCTCCCTGCAAACCCTGCCACTGTTTTACAGGAGGCATGTTTGACCTCTGGCTGCCACCAGCTCCTCCCCAAATTAATACTGTCAGTGTAAGGCAATTCTGCCAAAAAGCAGCCCTGCAACAATCCTGTGCTTTTGTGCAAGGCCGGCTGCAGCCAGCTAGGGGAGGCACTGGCCTCCACCTGAGGCCAGAGAAAGAATAGCTTTGCATGCAGGAGAACAGGCAAGACTTTCAAGGGTTAAACGCACTTTCTGATTTCTTAGTTAAACTATTTAAGCTTATGGTGAGGGTATATATGCAACAGGGAGAATGAAATGCATATGGCAATTTACTACGTAAAGTCCCGTTACTGTGATACATGTGCAGATATTTATCATGGCCTTTCCAGAAAAACATACCCGTTACTGCCGTTTCGCACAGCTGGTCTTCCCCGTTGCCCCCAACACCTAACTGCTTCTGCTTCTTTCCCAAGTGTCCCTGCCCTGGCTGGATGAAGCTGCGTGACGCCGCACAGAGCGGCGGAGCAAACCTGCCTGCAGCCTCCTCGCAGGTGCGTTGCCAGCCAGGAATATTTGCAATCCATTTTCCTCAGGATACAAGAAAGAAGGCATTGCAATCTTGTCTGAGGGTCAGCCTCCCTCCCACAGGCACTTACTGGTCACCTTGAACCAAATTTCACCATGGGATAGCAGGCCTTAGGGACAAGTTTCCAAGTGAAAATGGGTGATGGGGTAGCAAAGGGGGACCAAAACCACCCCAGAGAAGCTGTGCGGGCTCAGCACAGCTGGAAAGCTTAGCCCTGCCAACACACAAGAAATCTGACTATTAAACATACCCAACAAACCATCTGAGAACGTTTAATTTGCAGAAATGAGCAGTAATTTCAAATATTTCAAAATAATTTCAAATTTCAATGAAAATTATCTCATTTGTTAAAACTTCTGAGAAGACAAAAGTCGTGAACAATTATTCATTACAGACTATCCACTTAGATCCTCTCAGATGTAACTGTGCCATAAGAAATGTGCCGTAGTGAGGAGTTTGGAAATTGGGCCGAGACCCTTAAGAGCCATTTCACACAGGCCACTGAACAGCCAGCAGGTGGTAACACCTCTGGGCCTCTACCAAGCTGAAAACCATTAGAAGAGACTTAAAGAAAAAGGCTTATTATCTCATTGCTATCTGCAGGAGACATCAGGCTCCCTGTAACTTCTTACTTCAGTTCAGTCAGGAGATGTCTCACCACTACATGAATAATATGACAAACAATAAAACACAAGTAGTGGTATAATACTCTAGGAGTAGGCTTGTTTATTATTCCTGACCAATATTTTTCTTCCCTTTGCCAGAAGGAAGCATCACACGAGGACCTGTGCACAGAAAGATTCAAAATCATTGTCATTCATGAGACCTACCTGTGAAAAGCTGCCGGCCTCACGTGAACACTTTCCTTCTGGAAGGTACATTACCTTTCTCCTCACCCCTTACTAGACCCAGCAGAACAAACATCAGCATTTCACACCACCACAAGTGAAACCATTGCAAATTAAGACGAGACTTTCATTGGAAGAAATGTTTACCTGGTTAGGAGCAATCAGGTTCATTCACTGACAAGCTGCTGTGAAGACAGCCATAATCTTCCATTAACTTCCTGGAATCATATTTTAGCTCCCAATTACATGAAAAATCTGTTGGCAAAAACAATAAAAATTCCAGTTACATTTCAAATTCTGCTTCCTGATTCTTTTTTCCCCACAGGTATCTGAGGCCTGGTCAAAAGGAATAGGAAATAACTTCCAATATTTCAAGTCTTGTCTTAAAGCTGCCAAACAGTTCAAACAAGTATACAGAATAACAGATCTGCTCCTCCAGCAGAAACAGGAATAATGCAGACATTAATTCTGGGGATAATGCAAATAATAGTCTTCAAGCTTTAGCCCTGGCTAGGTCTGAATAGGTGCACTTTTTTGGGTGCTGACACAAAATGAATGTCTGATCTACAGGCAACGCCCTTATCTCCAATGCAGTCCTCAGCTCTCAGATATGAGCTGCCACAGGCTGCATCTGTCTGTGGCAGAGAACAGTTCTCATCTGTTCTCTGCACACAAAGGATTAAATGTTTCAGAATCTGCATAAAACAGGAGATTCGTTATTCTGCAAATAACGGAGCATTTTCCCAGTTACCTAGAACCTGTTCAACTGGATCAGCATCATGCGCGCTCTCAGAGGAGACGCTGGAAAAATTTCACACAAAATCAGTATTGCACAACGTTATAAAGAAATAGATAGCACATTGGGGCAGCAATGACAGCATTTCTTTTTGAAAGAGGCTAATAGCACCAGGTACAGTGGCAGTGAGCAGGGCACTGCCCACCGGGGCACTGCAAATAGGTGGTTTATTGCCAGAACGCGGCCTGAGTGTTTGAAGTGCAGTAAAGACACTTGCCAGGACGGGTATCAAAAACATACACAGAATATACTTCTACCTGATGTTTATGCTAAAAGGCATTTTGAGCGTCACTGTTGGTGTTACAATTACACCCTGCTCAGGGGAGCACCGAGTCCCTTCGCAAGCCCCGCACGGCGCCCGAGGTGACGGGAAACCAGGCGTGCCTCGACCACGGGCCACGTTCCCTCCCCAGACGCCGAGGGGAGGACAGAGCTGCTCTGCGCAGCACAGCCAGCTAAACCACGCCGAGCTCTGGGGTTTTACACACCGCAGGGCTCGCAAAGCCCTGCCCAAAGCCTGGCTACGCTCTTCACAAAGACCTCCACGTGCACACAGGGGTTGGCCGCAGGATGGCACCTTTTTTAATAGCGTTTTCCCTTCCTTCCTTCTCACACCTTCCCCCTCGAGCTCCTTCCTCCCTGCAGCCCCCGCTCACGGGCGGCACCGTCCAGCCAAGCCTGAAGCCAAGGGCGAGCACTGCCAGGGCGACACAGACAGGCACTAACAACGGCCTGAAAAACGGTCCCTGCCCCGGGGGACGCTACTGCCTCCTTAGCGCTTCGCTGCTCCAGGCGGACGGGGCGCCAGGGGCGGCACGGCGGAGCCCCGCGCGCGGCGGCGCTGCGCCCCCCTCACCTCAACCTCCTTCCCGCCTCTGCC